GGTCCAGCAGTCTTCAGGACACATTGTCTTTGGGTGACACACTCTGCTCAAATTCCCTTTGTCAAGCAGGAAGTCCATTCTCCCAAGAGGGGTCGTGTTGCTTCTCTGCTTACACGCCTCCCATGGCTTCCCAGTGCCCTCGGGACAGGTACAGGCTTCTGAGCCTACATAGTCCTTCATAATCTGAGGTATTCTCGTGATTTCCTTGTGACTTGCACAGGCCTCGAATGGGAAGAAGAGAGGATACCCATTCCCCTTCCCCATCAGCTGGGTAGGCAAACTCAGGGCTCATCTCATCTGCTGTGGTTAAGTAGTTAAATTCCCGTCTCAGAGCCTGCTTGCAATGACTAGGATCCTGTGGATCTCGGCAGGGCCCCAGGACCTGCTAAGCACCCAGGAAGAGTCTGGAGAGGGTGGAGGGACCCACACTGCGATGCTGTCATGTGTCTGCTGTGCCTTCTTACCGCAGCCATGTTTCTGTGGCCTGTGCAGCAAGACTTGGCTCCCGGGTGCCATGCCAGGGCCCTGAAGCCTGGAGCAGCTGCTCTAATTCATGCAAAGGAAGGCGCCCAGGTTTGCCCTGTCTATTTATAGCTTATTTATGAAGAAGGAAAAACAAGGGCCCAGTTGCCTTAGCAACCGGGAGCATCATGGGCTGCTTTCCTTGCAATGGGAAGATGGCCAAATCTCCTTGTGGGGGGGCGCCCCCGGATGCGTGTGTATCCTGATAGAGGACGGGGGTGAGCCTTCCAGGGCCCATCCCACGCTGGGCTCCTAGAAGCCTGCAGGTTGGGGGAGGTGCTTGCCAGGCCCTTGGAAAATCCAGGCTGGGGCACCGAGGAAGGGTCTGATAAATACTGAATGAATGAACGGATGAATGAATGAAGTGCTTTACAGTTTGCACTGCCTCTTCTTACTCAGCATGCAGGAGGCAAGGGAAACATTGCACCGTGCTCTCAGTTCACAGACGAGGAGACAGATGAGCGATGAAGAGACCAGCCTCTGATCCCGCAGCTGGGAACTGGCTGAGCTTGCCTTGCTTTTGTTCTGGCAAAGCTGCAGGAAACACGCAAACTTGGGTTCCAGCTGGACCATAATTGCCAGGGTCGGGAAAGTGGTGTTGTGTCTGGTCTGGGAGCCATGTGGTTTGAGTGGTGATTCTGCCACTCATCAGCTGTGTGCTGCTTATCACCTCGAGCCAAGTGACTTTACTTCTCTGGGCCTCAGTTTCCACATCTGTAAAGTGGGGCAATGACGACAGGTCCTCAGGGACTACCTGCTCCCTGAGGGCAGGCACTGCGTCTGTCTCTTGCTCATCTGTTTTCCTAGTGTTGGTCCATTCCAGATGCTTAGGAAGACCATGAGATCTTGTATACAAAGTGGTTAGAACAGAGCCCAGGTCATGGTGCTCGCAGGGAATGTTGGTTGTTACTATATTATTAGGGAACTGAGGCACAGAAAGCCTGCTGGCTCCCCTGAGGTCACACAGCCAAATCCAGAGCAGAAGTGGTAGCTATACTATTGAGTGAGTCAGTTTTGGTGGCCCTGCCAGGGATTAAGTGGGACAGTGTCCAAGCCCCGGTGAGGATGTTCTGGATTGAGCTGCAGTCCTGGGGGACGGCAGTCCTGTTGGACAGGGAGGCTGAAGCAGGGTGTCAGGGGGCGGGGGATCCAGAGCTGCCCTCCCTACTGTGGGAGGTACCCAGGCCCTGCCCCAGGCGGAGTGGAGTTTCCTTCGCCTTTCCAGGGCCAGACCCAGGCTGCCTGGAGGCTCTCTGTTGCCCTCTGCTGGGTTCCAGCTGCCTCTGCTGGGCCACCTCCAGAGGCCGTCAGACAGACAATGCTATCTCCTCAGCTCAGTCTGGGTGTGGAGACCACACCAAAGAGACCTGGTTAGGGAGAAAAATGCCCCAGGACAAACTAAGACCACTGGTCATTTCCACATCATCCCTGGGCTCCTCCAGCTCCTGCCGCGGCAAGACACAGCCCCACCACCGTCCTCTGGAGGCTGAAGGCTGACGGCTGAAGGCTGCTTCATCTCCCCTGGCTGCAGCCCCGTCAGACTCGTCCCTGTTTCCTGAGAACAAAGTGTGCCCAGACTTTCTGTTGGGTTTCTTCGCTCTGTACCCCGGGCCTTCGTTTGTGTGTCTGTCCCTCCTGCCTTCTCACCCCGTGAGCTCACACCTGTCCAGTGACAGCAGCCCACCTCCACGCAGCCCTGAGCACACCGGGCTGGGAGTCGTTCTGGGGACTTCTTCCTCAGACTGTGAACTCCCGACGTGTATTTGTTTGTTAGGGGTCTGCTGGAGCAGAGTACCACACACTGGGTGGCTTCAATAACAGAAATAATGGAAGTGTAGTGCCTCAGAGCTCTGGAGGCTAGAAATCTGAAATCAAGGTGTTGGCAGGCCTGGTTCTTTCTGGGGCTGTTCCAGATCTCGCCTAGCTTCTGGTGGTTTGCCGCCAGTCTTTGACGTTACTGGGCTTAATCTCTGCCGTCACATTCACATGGTGTTCTCTCTGTGTCTCGAAGTCCCCCTTTTAAAAGGACATCAGTCATACTGGACTAGGGTCTACCCTAATGACCTCATTTTACCTTGATTACCTCTGTAAAGAGGTCTTATCTCCAAATAAGGTCACGCCCTGAGGTACTGCGGATTGGGACTTCAACATATTAATTTGGGGTGGGGAGACACAATTCAACCCATAACATGAGGAGAGGAAATCCATCTGGTTCATCTTTGTGTTCACTCCCTCAGGGGGGAGCCCAGAGCAGGAGTGAGGGAGACTGATGAATGCTGAGAAGGCAGTCCTTCATTCTATAGTCATTTCCTGACCCCCACAGCATCCAGGGCATGTTGAATTATCGCCTGTCCTGTCTAGGTCTTATGGAGTTGAGTCTCTCTCATTAGGAAGTGGAATTCTCTAGAGCAGAGTCTGTGTTTTTCCTTTTTACATTCACCAAACCAGAAAGTTGGTGACACAGGAGATACTCAAAGTTTTTCATTGGTAGATTCCTGTGGAGGCAGATAGGCGAAGTGTCATTTTCCCAATTTCACACAAAAGACCCAGAGAAGTAATGCAAAGGAATTTAACCTCTGACAAATATTTATTGAACACATCGTTGTGACAGGCACTTGTTCTGGGTGATTGTGATGCCATTCATTCATTCATTGCTAGAAACAGGCTTGACACATGGTAGGTACTGAGTAAATAAATTATTAATTCATTCCACAGTTATTTGTGCTGTGATTTACTTGCTATGTAAATTTTAGCACGTTACCTTATTTCAGTGAACGTTAATTTCCATCAGAAAAGTGAGTTGAATTACATAGCTACCTTTGAGGCTTGTTCGCAGGATGAACGAATGTGCTATTAACAATAACAGCTATTCATTGAGAAGCTGCTACCTGCCAGGATAGATGCTCTCCACATACAGTTTTCAATTCTCACAGCAGCTTTTATTTGTTAATTGAAGTACTGTTGATTTACAATGTTGTGTTAGTTTCTGGTGTACAGCATAGTGATTCAGTTACATATTTATATATATATATATATTTTCCATTATAGGTTATTATAAGATATTGAATATAGTTCCTTATGCTATACAGTAGGACCTTGTTGTTCATCTACTTTATATATAGTAGTTTGCATCTGCTAATTCCAAACTTCTAATTTAATCCCTCCTCCCCATTTCCTCTTTGGTAACCATAAGTTCATTTTCTACGTCTGTTTTTGTTTTGTAAATAATCACAGTAGCTTTTTACAAGTTGAACATAACATAAAATTCACCATTTAAAAATGTACAGTTCAGGGGCTCTTAGTATATTCACAATGTTGTGTTACCATTACTACTATCTAATTCCAGAACATTTTCATCACCCACTAAAGAGACTCTGTATCTGTTAGTCATTCCCCATTCTCTCCTCCCGTCATCTCCCAGTCACCACTAACCTACTCCCTGGCTGTGTGGATTTGTCTAGTGAGGATGTCTCATAGAAATGGAACTGTACAATATGTGGCTTTTGTGCCTGGCTTCTTTCACTTAGCATAATGTTTTCAAAGTTCATCCCTGCTGTAGCATGTATCAATACTTCATTCCTTTTCCCCCCTTTAACAGAGGCATCAGGGATTGAACCCAGGACCTCGTGCATGCCAAGCACACATTCTACCACTGAGCTATACCCCCCACCCCCAATGCTTCATTCCTTTTTATGGCTGAATAATATTCTGTTGCACAAATGTACCACATTTCATTTATCCATTCATGAAGTTGATGGACATTTGGGTTGTTTCCATTATTTGGCTATTATGAATAATGCTGCTATAAATATTTGTGCATAAGTTTTTGTGAACATCCATTTCCAGTTCTCTTGGGTATCTACTTAAAAGACAATTGCTGGGTCTATGTTTAACTTGGGGGGGCAACTGCCAAATTGTTTTCTGGAGCAGTTGTACCATTTTACATTGCCACCAGCCACATATGAGGGTTCCAGTTTCTCCACAATCCTGCCAGCACTTATTATTTTCTGTCATTTTGATTATAGCCATATCGGTAGGAGTGCAATGGTATCATATTGTGGTTTTGATTTGCATTTCTCTAATGACTAATGATGTTGAACTTCTTTTTTTATGGGCTCGTTCGTTTCACAGCAGCCATTTGAGGCAGTTGTTGTCTCCATTTGACAGCACAGGGAACAAAATCAGAGTTCAGAGGACTTGTTCATTGCAAGGAGATGTGCCTGGAACTTGGGTGTGTCTGTCTCCGAAGCTCCATGTAGTCTAATTAGCAGTAGAAACTCCTTTGTTCTGGTGCGTAGAAGGCCTGGCTCTGGTTTGTCCACCTTGGACGAGTCCTTTCCCAGGCTCCGGGGTTGAGTTTCTCCTCCGGGCCACTTGGGGCGCAATAGTCCAAACATCTCCGGGCTCCTCTAGGAACCCGTAACTCTAAGATCACTCGCTGTTGAAATTTGCCCCGCCCTTTCAAGCCCAGATCGCCGGCGGCGCAGGAAGTGCTCGGCTGTTTTTCTTTGCTCCCCGCCCCCGGCCCGGAAGCACTTTTTCGGGAAGATGGCGGCTGTGTCAGTGTATGAGCCACCGGCTGGAGGTTTCTCTTTTGATAACTGCCGCAGGTCAGACCATGCCCGGGGCGGGTTTCAGGGCAGGGGTGGGAGTGCGGTGCCGGGGTCGGAGCTGGGCTGCGGTCTGAGCCGGGAAGTCAGAAGGACGGGTGGACGGCAGGGCCTGCGGCCCGCGGCCCGTGTGACTCAGGGGAATCAGGGCCTGAGCATGGGTTTCTCCTGAGGTCGGATCTGCTCTTCCACTTTACCAGCGCACCCGGACACCTTCTATCTCCGTCTCCTTAGGCAAGTTGCAGACCCTCTCAGACACTCTTTACTGAAAAACGGAACAATAGTCCGCTGTTGGGATGATTCAGTGTAACAAATGGGCGTGAAAGCAAGTAGTTTTTTCTTTTCCCGAGTTCCCTATTAGACACTCCTTGTGGCAGTGCAGTGCAATGGGTTCCTACCTTTCAATGCTTTATTCTCTCATTTGCTCTTAGAAATGCCTTTTTGGAAGCCGATTTTGCAAAGAAAGGGTTCAAACTTCCAACAGCCCGGAAAACTGGGACGACCATCGCAGGGGTGGTCTATAAGGTAAGCCGGGACAGGCCTAGATCAGCAGTGACTGAACTAATTACAAGGAAACAGGCCACTTGGCAGCCTTTACTTCTCTGGGCTGTATGAGGAAGGGCACGTGTTACAGAGTACTACATCAGGAAAAGTTCCTTTAGGAGAGACTGTTTCTCAGGAGAGTTTGTGCGCTTATCAACAGTTTATGTTCTTTCCTCAGTTTGCAGAGTTTTTGACAGGAGACCAGTTTCTTTTCCGTCTTAAGTTACTACTTTAGGAAGCAGGTAGAAGTAATGGGAGAACACAAGATTTGTTAATTTCTTTGCTGCCTCTAACTTTGGGCAGGTCACCTATTACAGCCACACTTTCCTATCCTTCAAATGGGCATAATAACTCCTGCCTTTAATTATTGTAAGAGTGATAAACGGTAACAGGTTATTGTGGTTAAAGGTAAAGAGTTACATCTTTTAAAAAGAAATTGAGAGAGGTGGCTATTTTAATATGGAAGACTTTTCCCATACTGGCTGTGTGATTTGTAAGGAATTCACTGAATCTCTGAGTCTCATTTGGAAACAGGAATGATAGTTCCTACCACCTCCTCAGGGTTCAACCAATAACATTTATTAACAAACCTTTTCTTGAATTCTGAAAATACAGCACAATATTTTTGGTAGGAGTTTCGGCGGGTGGTGAGGAGGTGGTTGGGGGAGCAGGGGATGGTCAATGTTGTTTTTCCTAAGCTGGGAGAGCTGTGGTTTATATATGTAAAATTGTTTGAAAATATGTATTTTTTAAAAAAATAGGATGGCATAGTTCTTGGAGCAGATACAAGGGCAACTGAAGGGATGGTCGTTGCTGACAAGAACTGTTCAAAAATACACTTCATATCTCCTAACATTTAGTAAGTATTGATTAGTCTGAGTAACTCATACTTTCAAGCTTGTCAGGGTTAAAATTGAATTTACTATGTTCTTCTCTAAAACCTGCTTTTCAACCTGTATTTTCTTCCTGTCTCCCTTAAATGGCATTTCCATCCACCTAAGTTACTCATCCTGAAGTCCTCTCTTTGTTTTAGTCTTCAGTTCAGTTGGTACTCAGTTCTGCCTCCTGTGTGCATCATGAACCCATTCCCTCCTGTCCTTGCCTCTACTAAGGCCTTAGTTCAGATTCTTTTTTCTCACCTGGACTATTGTGGTCATCATTTAAATGGTCTCTCTGCGTTTGGTCTTTTCTCTATCTCTACTGTTCACTTTTCTCCCATATTGGATTTGGTAAAAAAACAGATCTGTTTAAGTCCCTTTCCCCACTAAAAACTTTTCAAGGGATTTTTTCACATTTCCACACTGCTTTCAGGATACAATCGAAACTTGGCATGATATTTGAGGTCTTGCACAATCTCACAAAAAGCTTACCTTTTCATCCTATTTAGCTGCCATTATCCTGTGTTCCAGTTATACCTGGACTGTCCCTATTTCCCTCATGTCCCTGCTCCTCTCATCTCTAAATTATTTCACTTTGCTTTTGCCAGCCCCTCTGCTTAGAAATGCCCTTTCTTCTCTGCTTGTATGGTATTTTTATTCTGTTCTTCCAAATCCAGCTCTTATGAAACCTCTTGTCAAAGATCAGAATTAATTGCTCTCGCCTCTAATTTCCTGTAGCATTTTGTACCTATGCTACTATAATGTATTATATGAGATAATAATTTTTATCTATGTGTGTCTCCTCCATTCAGCTTTGAAATCAAGTGCTATTACTGTGTCATATTTTCTTTTCAGCACTTGGGAATGACTGGTACCTAGTAGTAAATACTTGGTATTTATTAAATTGCAGGACTTTTAACATGCCTTGCTCTTTTGGACAACTTGGATATAATTCTAGGAAAAGTGAAATACACACTCTGTTAGGAACACAGAAACTAATGATTTGAAATGTTTCATTGGGCTACAGAAAATATATTTGTGTGTAATTAGATGTGCACTCTTGATTTTATGATTATTTAAGATTGGTTAGACAGCAGTTACAGTGCAGATGTACTCAAAAACATCTCTCTGCACACCTGAACCTTGTGGAAGTTATCCAGAAAGCTCTGCTTCTAATTGAACCCTTTGGTAATTGAATTTCAGCTAAGTTTCTAATTGTATTTTTTAGTTGTTGTGGTGCTGGGACAGCTGCAGACACAGACATGACAACCCAGCTTATTTCTTCCAACTTGGAGCTTCACTCCCTCTCCACTGGCCGCCTTCCCAGAGTTGTGACGGCCAATCGGATGCTGAAGCAGATGCTTTTCAGGTGAGGTTCCAGGGTAGGGATTTCTATAGCATCTTTTTCTCATGTCTTAGATTTCAGCCAGAGGAAGCCTGGAAGCTAGAGGAAAAGCATTCAGAAATACACATTTTATTCCAGTAATTAGTGATTACTTAAAAAACCATTTTAATTTCATGAGGCTTTTGATAATGTGTTTGAATTTATGGGATTTTTTTTCCCCACTAAGTGAATCACATGTCACCAATTGAATCATTTTCTGAGGCTTAGGGTATTAGATAAAAAAACATTTTTGTTCATAGTAGGAAAGAGCTGGAAGGAGCTTTTAATTTCATCTTGTGAACAGACACAAACAAATGATTTTTTTTCTCCTTCTTTTAGGGGCAAGATAACAATGAAATGAAAAATGTTTGTAGTTGGTTGTGAGTGGATATAATAACATTAGTATTAACCAAAATTTATCTGTCTCTTTGTGCCAGGCCTGGTGTGAAGTGTTTTGTGTGTTTAACTCTGAGATAGAGGTTATTAACATGTCTAATTTGTAAGTGAACAAACTGAGGCTTAAAGAGGTACAGTCATTCGTCTGAACTAAACCTTCATTTCCTGCTGACTCCCACAGGGAGTTCCTCTTAGTAGTTTTGTTTCTCTTTCTTCCTTAATAATCACGTTATCACTTTATGTTTGTATAGTTCTAGACAGGTTTCAAATTATAAGTCCATTTTCTCATTTGCTCCTCATAAAGAGAAGAGAGGCAATGTAGTGTAGTGGAGATAGCCTGGCCTTTTACTCTTGGGTTGGAATATTGGCTCCTTTAGAGACCTGCTTTACCTTTAAAAATTCTCTCCTCTTTCCTTTATAGAATGCACATCACGATACCTTTTTTCCTTTTTTGAAGTTGATCAAAAGCCTTTATTCTGGTCCTTACCATTCATTAAGCAGCCTACACAAAACATTTTATCTTTGCCCCAAGTGGCAGCAGCTGCATCCAGGCTTGTGAGAGTTAAAGGGGAGCAGGAACAGAAGCAAAGATTGTAAGCTGGCAGCTCACAGGCCATATTCAATTTATAGAGAGATTTCATTTGGGTCATAGAGTGTTTTTTTAAAAAAATAATGGCCAATAATTATAAATTGAGAGCTTTGAATTTAAAACACGGATTTCCAGCTTCTTTTGATAAAAACTCATAACATGGGTGGGGTAACATGTGGCAGTAATCTGGAGCTGAGTGGCGGATGTTGCCTTTAGAAGTGGAAGCGGAAGGTCTGTCAGTCCTGGCCTGGTTCACTTCCCTGTTTCCTGCCTGGCCCTTGCCTTTGAGTGAATTTGCAGTCTTCATCTACAAGTGTGGCCTGGCCTCCAGGCTCTCAGTAAGTGGATGTGAGGTTTCATGTAGCTGTGCAGCAAGGCTGGTAGTGTAGTTCCCATTTTACAGTGGAGGATACCAGGGTTTATGAGTCATATGGGCAAGAAGCCTACTCATATCGGCCTAATTCCTCCTCTGGCTGTACTGAGCCTTTATGTCAGTGATTCCCGTTTATTCATGTACATAATCATCATCCTGATCCTGGAGAATTATCGCCTATCAAATAAATTCTCCCAGTACAGTGTGAGAATTTGTTAAAGCACATCTGTTGTCAAGATAATCTGAAGACATTTGTGACTTTGATTTTAAATAAAAGGCTCCCTCTGGTGGTTTCTGTGGTGCATTACATTTAAGACAATTTTTAAACTTGTAAAATTGTGGTAGTGTATTTCAAGATTGCTTGCAATGTCATTTAAAGCATTTCGTTAAATCTAGTAGATATTTCTGTTAATCTCTTTAGAATATTTTAGGAATCCTAAATTCTGTTTTTTTCAAGTATTTTATTATTTTTAGTTAAACATACCTTGTAAAAGTTAAATTTTATCAAAGTTTTGAAAAGAACACTTAAAAATTTAAGCCAGGATAATTATGGTTCTTTATGTCTTTGGACATTTTTGTTGAATTACATAAAGTGAGTCACTAGTATAAGGGAAAAACGCATAGGATTTGACTTTAGTCCTGTCTATAGCACTTGTATTTGTGTGGCCTTGGGCTATTCACCTCACCTTAGTCTCAGTTCCTTCCTAAATAAAATGGGGGTAATAGTTCTGTCTCTGTAACTTTTAAGGAGGAAATGAATAAACAAATAGAGAAATAAGGCTTATGACAATGCCTAGTACAGGGCCTGATGCACAGTTAGAGCCCCATAAAATTCAGAGACTGAAAAGGAATACAAGGTGTACTCTTCTTGCTATTACTGTATTTTTTCCCCCTGAATAACCCATTTCCTAGTATGTGAATCAGGGAGAACAGAAGTTCTGGTAAGCAGAAGTGGACATCTTTTCTTTATCTAAGCAGTACTTTTTTTTTTAATTAGACTTAATTTTTTTAGAGCAGCTTCAGGTTCACAGCAGAATTGAGCAGAAAATACAGAGAGTTTGCACATAGCCCTCCCCACTGACACATACATACTCCCCTACCCTCAATATCCCTCATCAGTGTGGCGGCATATTTGGTACAGTTGATGAACCAACAGGGACAACCAAATTCCATAGTTTACATTAGGGTTCACTCTTGATGTTGTACATTCTATGGGTTTTGACAAATGTATAATGACACTTAGCCACCACTATAGTATTATACAGAATTTCATTGCCCTAAAAATCCCTTGTGCTCCATCTATTCATTCCTTCCTCCCTCCCTCCCTCTCCCCAAAACCCTGGAAACCACCATCTTTTTGTTTCTGTAGCTGTGCCTTTTCCAGAATGTCATTTGTTTGGAATGGTACAGTTTGCAGCCTTTTCAGACTGGCTTCTTTCATTTAGTAATGTCTTTTAAGTTTCTTGCATGTCTTTCATGGCTTGATAGCTCATTTCTTGCATTTTTTATTTCTGCACATTTATTTTAAGTTTACACATACGTACTATTTATTGTTTCTAAGAACATTTAGAGCTTTAGCTTTTTAAATTTACGTAGTCATCAAAGGAATAAAACCAATTAAAAATAAGAATTAATTTTAAAAGACACATACACCTTACTGTTAACAGCAACATTATTTGTAATTGCCAAGATATGAAAGCATCCTAAGTGCACATCAATAGTTGAATAGATAATGAAGATGCAGCATATATATGTGTAATGGAATACAGCTCACCCATAAGAAGGAAGGATATTTTGCCATTTGTGGCCCTACATTCACTTTTTTTTTTTTCCACTTCGAAAGTACTTCAAAGCAATACTTTTATTTTACTTCTGTGGTGGCTAGATGTAGAAGATACAAATAATACTTGTTCCTTCTGAGCACAGAGCCTCCATGTTGAATCCAGCAGAAATCTTTGTTATATACTGTTCTATATTCTGGAGACTATTTGAATATGTAGAGTTTCTTTTTATTTATTTTATTATATTGTACTTTTTTTTTTCTCTTACAAAAGTAGTATATATTCATTGTGGAAAAGTTGGGAAATACTGAAAAGCCCAAATTAAAAATAAGAATTTTGCCTTTCAGGGAGAATTGTGTTCTGGTTGGGTGTATATACTTCTAGTATTTTATATTTATTCATTCATTTGATCCTTCCTTCTGTATTACTAGTGCATGTTCACAGTAAAAAAGCTAGAAAGTGTAGATTAAATAGAAATTATCTGGATTTCTACCACCCATAAGCAGTTGGTGCTAACAGTTAACATTCTTCAAGTTTTTTCCTATATTTAATAATATGTATTTTGTTTTATAAAAATGAGATCATGGTTGTGCATCCTATCCCACAGAATAACCTAATCTTTTCACCTATCAGTGCATCATATTGGAGCATTTCAAATGGAAAATAACCTTTTTATAAATTATTATAAAAGTAATATACGATCATTGCAAAAAAAAATGAGACACTATAGAAATGCTAAAAGAGGAAAGTAGTAGATTTCACCTGATATTTTGCTACTTAAAGACATGCATTGTGAATCTTTGAGGTCTTGTTTTTTCAGACCTTTTATGCCGTGCATATATACTCATGCATTTGCAGATATGAAATCCTACTATATGTGTTGTTTTGTAAATGACCCTGTTCACATAATAATATAATGTGAATATTGTTCCCATCAGTAGAAGAGCTCAGCATCCAGAGATTTTGTCTTGAGCCCATGGAGTTCTGGAGACCTGTAACTCTCCTGAGATAGTAAAAAACTTGTGTATGTACACTTGTCATGGGCGAGGGTTCCACAATTTTATTCACTTTTTCAGAAGGGTCTGTGCCCCATAAAAGTTTAAGAACCATTAATCAATATCATAGTTTCGGTGGATCACAGTAATCTGTCTTATTAACCAATTTTTGAACATTAAGAATATTGCCTCTTTTAAGGTATTTAAGATATTGCAAGGTATTCTGTGAACCTTTTGGAACATTAGAACCCTTAAGTACTTGTGTTGTTAATCCTGTAGGCTATATTCTAAAATAAATTCCTAGAAGTGGAATTGCTGTGTAAAGATATGCACATTTAGCATTTTGATACATATAGTCAAAATTGTCCAGAAAAAGATTGTACTGAGTTGCGCTACCATCAGTGTACGAAGAATGTAGCGTGATTTTTAATGATTGTGACGTGTTCTGTTGTATAGCTGTATTAGTTTAGCTGATTCTCCCTCTGACTGTTTCCACTTTTTTAGCATCACAGTTACTGAAGTAAAAATTCTTGTGCATTCATTGTTGCATATTTGTCCTTTTATATCCTTTGAATTAGAATCCTGGAAGTAGAATTTTGGGATCATTTTTTTAAGGATTTTATTAACTTTGTAAAATATCTTAGACTCTTTTAAAGGCAGCAAACAGAGATTATGTTTTAGCTTGGAAGGGAACTAGCTGATTGTTACTGAGTTTAATTAAACAACCTGTTTGGCAGGTAGCTGGTGTAGTGGATCAGGCACTGGTGTGGGAGCGGTAGGTCTGGTGATTCTGGTCTTGACTCTGCTGCTAGCTCATTTAGCTTAGGACCAGTTTCTTTCCCTGTCTGGGCCTCTGTTCCTTCTTGAGGCTGCTTCTGAAATCCTTTCCTGCTCTTTATTTTTTCACTTATAAATGGAAGATTTGAAATAACAAGGTGATAATTGAATGACATGGGCTTGACTGTTCCGTATACCTGGAGTGCCTCCTGATGGGTAGCTATGTCTCAGACGATCTGAAATTATGACTTTGATTGGTCTTTGTGTTAATCTAGTTATATCAGTTTTAATAATTATATCATTAGGCAAATTGAGCATGTGTTGGTTTCGTTTTTCTTCCCAAAGAGCTAAAGGCTCACAGCGGAGAACTTTAAATCCAGCATGTTTATCTTGTGTAGCAGTTCTAATGGTAAAAAAACTGAGTCAAATATAGGGAAAGCAATCTATAGAGTTAGCAAACTACCTTTGTAGAGGAACAGATATGTGTGGAATTAAACAGAGGGGAAGTAGGGTGGAAAATGTATTCCTGCTCATGTTCCTGAGAGATACAGCTTTATCCTGTGGGCAGTAGCAATGGGTTTTATAGGCCATCGTGGAGTAATTTCATCATTCACTTCCCTGTATGATGAAATACTTTTCTGTTCTGCTCAGTATGACTGCATACCTGTCATAATTTTGTGGAATTACTAAAAGGAAAGGTGTTTCGCCATTAGCCATTTTCCTGGGAGGCTATGGGGAGCTCGATAATTTGAACAGCTTTAGTTTAGCAATTCCCCATTGTTGACTTGGAAGGGAGCTTGTCTGCTAATCACAAAGGTGCGACGGAAGGGTGCTGATAATCTTTGGAGTAAGCCAAGTGTGGCTCTGAGACATTGGGCAAGTACTTAATGTTTTTGGGTTGGTTTTCTCTTTTCTACAGTAAGAATTATAATGCCCTCTTTTAAAGGGGGTTGGGTGCTCACTGCGGCAGCGCATACACTAAAAGGGGTTGGAAGACTGAGCTGATATGAGGTACGTGGGGTGCCTCACAAAATTTATCGTTTTTATTGGCTAAAGGTACATGTTCAAGTGTGTTTGCTCCATTGCCTGTTTTTTCCCCATCAAAACAGTAACTACTTAATGAAGCAGCAGTAGTATAAGAAAGCTTTTTTGTTGTCTGACTTCTCATACAGCTTTTGGTTAAGTTACAGTGATGCAATGTAGACTCATTTTTTTCTCTCTTATGCGCACTCTGATCACCAGGTATCAAGGTTACATTGGTGCAGCCCTAGTTCTGGGGGGAGTAGATGTTACTGGACCTCACCTCTACAGCATCTATCCTCATGGATCGACTGATAAGTTGCCTTATGTCACCATGGGTGAGTGTAATGTTTCCCTGATGTTTCAGAGTCCTCTTACTTACCAAGGTGGTCTCTTAAGGAGCTGGTGTGTTTCCTGTTAGAGGTGACAGTGCAATACAGTGCTCTGATTCCTTCTACCAGTGTTTATGGAGTTCCTCCTAGGGATTAGGCCCCGTTTTGTATGCTTGGGATATAGCAGTGAACAAAATTTGGATAAAGATTCTTGCCCACAAGGAGTTTATACTTTAGTGGAGGTAGACAGACAATAGTAACAATTACTGTAAATATATATATTTGTAATATGTTATAAAGTGATAAATACTAGGAGAAAAAAGTAATGCAGATGATACTATACTATAGTTATACAAGGGAAACTTTGAGGGAAACTGAGTCAAGGGTGTACAGAAACTTGATTATTATTTGTGTCTGCATGTGTATTTATAATTGTCTCAAAACAGAAAGTTTAAAAAAATTAATGCAGTATAAATGGGCTGGAGACTATTGGGGTGGAAGGCAGACGAAATTGTTAAATAGGAAGGTGAGGGCAGGTTCATGAAGAAAGAGAGGTTTGAGGGGAAGGGCCTCTGGGCAGAGGGCAAGCCAGAGTGGAGCCTCCCTGCGGGCACAGGCCTGGTACAGGCAGAGATTTTTTTTTAAACTAGAATGATCGGAATCTATCTTTACCACTTAATCTCAGAAGGATCCTGGGCATATAATTCCTCTCTGAGCCTTGGTTTCCTACCTATGAAATGGTAACAATACCTACAATATACACGAGGCTATAATGATTAGAAAGAATGTATATAAAGCATCTGGCCCAGTGCTTGGCCTACAAATAGTAGTTACACTCTTAGATCAGCTTTGGACACCTATATTTTAGCTCTGAGTGCTAGATAAGAGTATTTTTTTTTAATGACCGAAAAAAAAAAAAGGGATAAAATTGTATTTAGGTGAATTGGGATTTTCAGGTTTAACTTTTTATGTTAAGTTTCTGCGTGAAGTTGTACACATCCAGAAATTTTTAACAGGTCATGTGTAGCTGGTGTTTTTCCAGCTGCTGTTTATGCCTCTCACATTTTTTGTCTTGATATCTTGGCGCTACAGAGCCAGGAATCACTGCTGCCTTGAATAGTTTGCAAATTGCTGGTTTGAGACTTTTGCCATTCCATTCCATTTAATATACAAGCTTCTTACAAGGTTAGTGTACAACAGATGTTCCCTGTTTGTGAAGAGAATGATTTGTCCCCAGATACTGTATGGAATAATTATTTTAAAATGAAGATACAGTAATTTTAGAATTGTTCTGAATTGCTTTGTTCCATCGTATTTGTTATCTCCATCAAAGTACTGTTTTTATTTCTCCCCATCTGATGCTTTTAAATGGTTTTAAAGGTAGAATAGCCTTTTCCATTAAGTAATTTTGTTTCTTCTTTTTTTTAACTTAAAAAAATTTCACACTTGGAGAAAAGTAACAGTAATGTATAATGAACACTCTTTACTCATGTTCGTCAATTTTTAACATTTTACCACATTTTTGCTTGTTCTCTCATATATTATTATCATTAATTTTTTGTGTATGGAACCATTTGAGAATAAATAGCAGACACCATAACCCTCCAACTCTAAATACTTTAGGATATCCTCTTATATCCACCTTGATAAAATCATCAAAGTCAGGAAATTTAACATTGATACAAAGCCGTTGCCTTTTTAAGGTGGAAAAGTTGAATTGGTTTCTTGCTTTTTGAACCATAGCAGTTTATGAGCATAATCCCAAATTTAGGAAAAGTTGTTGAAAGTGACTAGAGCAGATTTGTGTCTGTTCATTTCATTCCTGCAACTCCACTTTGTGCTCTGTCCTGGCTGACAGTGGTCTCCTTTCCCTCCAAGGCCAGTGTGAGTCCAGGGTGATGGCTCCCCAGCTTTGAGTTTATAGCACACTTCTATTTAGAAATCATTACACAGTCAGGTTTTGTTCACATAGAAGATTAAGAAAAATAAGACATCAGTAACACCTGATTTTAATACCCAAGTAAGGTGTCACTTTGAGGTTTAGTTTATTCATCTGTTCATTTATTTATCAACTATTTCTTGAGTAAAGGCACTGTGGCAGCATCCACAAATAGAGGTCCTTGCCCTCAACATAGTCACAGTGTATGGAGGAGAGAGATGTGTAAAGAGATAAGGGCAGTGGTGCAAAGGCTACTGGCAGCTCCAGGAAGAAACGGTCACATCTCAACTGGAAGATTTCAGGAAAAGCTTCACTTCACTTGAGCCGAATCTTAAAAGAAGGATAAGTTACTTTCATTCATTTATCAGATATTTATTTAGCATCTACTGTGTGCTAGGCCCTGTGCTAGGTGCTGGGAATATAGTGGTCAGCACAACACCTGCCCTCAGAGCTTAGAGCCTCATGTGGGAGACAGGAATTACAGAAGTAAATGTACGTTAATCCAAACGAATGCACTGTACTAAGTGTCCTGGAGGAAAGGAACAGTAATGAGAGAGAATAGCAGGAAACAGTGTATGGGTAATGGGTGTTCGGAAAGTCCTCACTGAGCAGGTGACATGCGAACATTTCCTAATGAAAGTAAACATGACAACATTCAAGTGGGGAAAATATTACATGAAAAATGTCTCTATTTCATATTTCTCCTCCAGAGTAACCACTATTGAGTTTATTTTGTTTTTTTTTCCAGAAGATGACTTATGATTCACCTTTATATATCTTTGTCGTCTGCCTGTCTGTCCCTATTAAAAATACATAATGGGAAAAAAGAAAAAGAAAAAAAACATAATGGAAGTCATGTTATAAAAACTGTTCCATTGTTGTTAACTTGTTTTGAGGAAGTTTTTGTATCAGAGCTTGTAAATCAGTATCAGATCCATAATAATACCTTCATAGAATGGCAGTATATGACTGTACCATGATTTGCTGACCCAGTCTCTTGTTGATGGATATTTTAGTTTCCAGGTTTTTGCAACAAGTGTGTCTTGATATTCTTGTATAAGCACATCAGATAAATTCCTAGTAGTGGAATTTCTGAATTAGGGTGGAATTGCTCAGAGTTCTTTGTTGTAAGCAATACAATCATTGGATGATTTAAGAAAAGAGGATTTTTTTTTTTTAAAGAGTGGTAGGTGGCTCACAGGGCAAAAACTGGGTTTGGGGCCAAGAGCAATGTCAGAAATCATGCTGCAGAATGGGCCATTGCAGGTGAGTGCAGGATGCTGCAGACAACTCTCGGGCCCAGTTGGCGTGGGTCCTGGACTCACTACTCACTCTGCTACCCAGCCTGCCTCGCTTGGGAACGGAGTCCTACCATCTCTCTCACTGTCAAGAGTTCCTTATAGGGAGGGGTGGGTCTTCTGATTGCTGAAGCTTAGTCATCCACTCATAAGGTGGTGGAGTTCCCCAGATGCAGAAGGGATGTACAGCTGTGGAGTAGCCCAAAAAAGTAACAGATGGCTGGCTATACAGTGCATTTTACCTTTTGAGAGCTATTGCTAAATTGCCCTCCAAAAAGATTGCACTAGATTATATTCCATCAAGAGAATATGAGAATGCCTTTCTCTTACAACCTCACCTACACTGGGTATTCTCCAGTCTGGTAGGTGTCCAGTCTGGTAGGTGAAAGATGAGAAAAAGTAACACTTAAGGACTCCAGGCCCTGTGGTGCACGAGGTACTTGCTGAAAGGCCAGAGTTTGCTGGATGGGTGAGCCAAGTACGGTGCAGTGGTTTGGGGGAGTGTCCCATGCTGGGGCACAGCAGAAGCAAAGACAGAAAGGAATGAGGATGTGTGGACATTCAGGAAGATGGAGCAGAGGCCAGGCTGGAAAGCTAGGCTGGAGAGGGTCCCGGGGATAGAGGCTGAGTTGTTTGGATTTTGTCCTGGAGTTCCCATCTACTCTTTTCAAGCCATGGAGTGAAAGAACAAGATATTGTTAGAGCAGTCTGACAGCTGTAGAAGGAAGCACTGGCATGGGGGAAGTCTGGAGGCAGAGAGGGAAATTACATCTGGCCAGAAATGTTGAGCGTGTGGATGAGTCCAGTGGCATAGGGGCGGCCATGGTCGTCGCAGAGCACTCAGAAGCCAGCTAGTCATTAGGCCAGATCCCGGGTCTCTGTCATCCATCCTCTCCTGTCTGCCTCAGTGCTAGTCCCTTCCTGGCTCTTCACCACAGTGTCACAGTAACTCCTCCACTGCAGTCACCTTCCTTCCAGTCCGGCTCTGGACCCTTTTTCCCATTTTACTTCCTGTTCCTCCTCCACGTATACCTTAGGCATTTGTGGCAACAGACCCCTTCCCTCCCCTAAACTGGCTTTTACACCCCATTGCTGCCCTGCTGCCTTCTTCCAGAAATGCCTTTGTTGCCTGGAGTGTCCTAATCATCATCCAAGCTCTAGCCCAGAAGCCATTTCCTCATGGCTGCCCCAGGCTGTAAGCAAGTCCCTCTCCGGGCATTTGGTGTGAAGCTTGATTCCAGGATTTCAGCCTTGTCCATACTCCACTTACCCCAGCCTTGTCCTTCCTGCTCTTGCAAAAATATGAGATCTGTGTTAGTGGAAATCTGTTTTACTCCCCGAGTCTCACGGAGTCCTGTGTGACTCAATGAATATTTGATGGTGAATTCATTTTCTGGCTCTCTGACTTGCTTGTGCCAAAACACATGGAACCTAGTGTTAGGAACCTTAACTGCTGTTTACTGTTTATGAACCAGCAGTTTACAGTACCCCTGGAACAGAGTTCAGGATATGTTTCATTTGTGTGGCCCTAGTAGAGCCGTAGGAAAAGAGCATAAAGCATTGCATGTGATAGGTCCTTTTTTTTAAGTTTAATATTATTTTAAACTTAAAGCATATTTGGAAGTGTCTGTGCCAGTGTCTGCTGGTGCTGTCATGTTATTTTCAGTTGAAATTCTATGCAAGGAATGCTGTCATTGCCATTTTATTGATGAGAAACTTGAAACTTAGATTTACTAGCCTCCTGTTACTGTCCTGTCTATAAGTGGCAA